AGAAATGGGGAGACAATAATTAGTTTGAATCATCCTCTTTATGCCTGAAAATTGTTGATAATAGGAGTAGTTGAATATACGAAGAACCGACAAAAAAAAAACAAATTACTAGAACTAGCTTTCTTTCGGGGAAACATTAACTGATGTCTTTGATAGCGTATTTGCTGCAAAAATGGTCCACACCCGCGGCCTTGTTGGTTTTGATCGTTGATTGGGCGGACAGCAACAAAATTGTGCCCTAAAAAACTTGGATGGTAAAATATTAAGATTCAACAAATACTAGTTTTTACTTATTTATATGAATGAAAAAACTTTGATAATATATAAATATATGAAAAATTATTTAAAAAATAAAATAGATTTTTTTAATCTTCAAATGATAATAAATTTTATTGAAATAAAAGAAGTTACAATACTAATAATGTAACTAATTTAAACTATAATTGTAAGGATTTTATTTATAAAAAATTCAAACATAAAATAAAATAAAATCTAAAGACGTAATGGCAGATGAAACCTTCTTTTAAATATGATGTCCATCATTCTAAATAACTCAATAATAGTAAATAGTATTCCTTTATCTTTGTCCGATAATTTATAAGTGTTGGAGTGGCCAGCAAATCAAAGCAAACATATATGTTACTTCGTCAATTAGATTTGAATATATCAACGCATACAATCACAAAAAATAATATAATCACTAAAAGATTATCAATAATCGTAAATCAAATATGACTGACGTAAGAATCTTTACACAATCACATATCTACCACAAAAATAGACGAATCACGTACTATAAGGCATAAAAAACATGCCACACGAGCAGAGTTAAAATGTATAAAAAAGGCATATAAACATGCACAAAATATATGAAAATTAAGAAGTCAAATAAAAAATAATTTTATAAAAAGAATGAAAACCAAATAAAAAATAACAAACGAAAGTGAAATATAAAAGAATAATGATGAAAATAAATACAGATGATCGATGATCGGTAACAAGGATAATATCAATATTAGCAAAAAAGAAAAACAAAAGAGAAAATATAACTGATAGAGGAAAAAAAATAAAATAAAAAATCAGTTTTTTTTTATAGACAATTGATATCGATTTAATTATAATTGTAACACTCATTGTCTTTTTAAAGATATTACATGTCATTGATATATGGGGAAATGGGATATTCAATGCATGGTGTAAGAGGATAATAATTGAATGTCTCCATTTTATCCCTTTTATTGGATTTTTTCAGAAAATGCGGGTTTATATACGGTTAATATATGGCGTTATCGGATATATTATAATATATTTAATAAATTCAATTTATCAAAAGATAATGGATCATGCGATTTAGATTTGATAAAAAATAAACTTAAAAATAATGAATTGAATAAATAAGGAAATCATCCAAAATTGAGAAAATATAAAATTTGTTATCAAAAGATGAATTAAAGCTATATATGCTTTCTTCATGAACATATACTTCAAATTTAATCAAAATAAAACTTAAAAATCAAAATATACTTAAAATAAAGGAAGTAGCATAAAAATATAGCAACCATGGACATTTAAATTTTTTTCTTATGTTACCAAGGGCAAACCCTAAATGCTAAAACTACAAGTATAGTCCTTTTAAGCTTTAAAGTTTTAAGACAAGATAATTGTAAAATTGTATTTTGGTCTTTTAATATGATAAAAATTTAGTTTAATCCTTTTAAAATTATAATTTAAATTATATTTAAACTCTTTAAAATCTTATAATTTTATTCTTGCCTCCCTAAAAATTTGCTGATTTCTCCCCTACGCCCAACTAAACTGTTGTTATACTCGCTTTATTCAATTACAACTGTATTTCATTCTCATAGAATGATCACTCATTTCGAACAAATCAAACGTATCGTAAATATTATCTTATCCTTTTCGAAAAATAAGTTTCTTTCTTTCGTGTGATAGAAGAATTCATGTTAAAAAAAATAAAATAAAGGGTAAACTTCATTTTTAGTATCTAAACTATTATCTTTGTTATGTTTTGGTATCATCTTTATTTTTAAAATCATATCTAACGTTTAGTTAGATTTCACTTTGGTACCCAACCGTTAAAATCTTAATTGTGACATTGATGTGCCACCATAAGATAATTCCACATTGTCATTGAAATAATTTTTTTTTAAAAAAAGAGTTCTGTTAATTTTTTAACAGTAGATACTAAAATGAAACCTAAACTAAATGCAAGTATGGTTTTGGAAAAAAAATAAAGTCTAGGTATAAAAACGAAATAAAAATAATAATTTAGGTACTAAATTGTGTAGTTTACCCAAAATAAATTGCTTGCCTATTACATGGCTCACTCCAAGATGTTAATATTACAATTAATTTTTAAAAATAAAACTTGTTCAAAGCTGACTTAAATCGATCTATTAGGTTGGATGAAAGGGAGAGTCTTTGAAGATATGTATGGTGTTACGTTTGCCATTTTTGTTCACAGTAAAGATAGAATCACATAAACACAATTTTTAATAAATTTTTTTATTAGTATAAAGTGATTATAATGTAATATTTTTTCGTAAAAAGAATGGGTGGTTATTTTTTTTTTAATTTTTTTTTCATGTTCGACGTGATGACAATGCACTGGCGGATTGCCTTGCAAAGATAGCGCACCATGATATCTTTGATATTGTTCACTATTTTCGACCTCCTCAAAATACCTTCGAGCTGCTGCATGCTGATGAAATAATTACTTCTCCTACTGTTAGTGAGCGTGATGTCCCTGGAAATGTCTAGTGTTTTGATACTAGTTTGTTATTAGTATATTTTGTTTGTTCTAGGGTTTAGGGTTTTTTACTAGTATATTTTGTTTGTTCCGCCATTTAAGTTGTTGGCTTCTTGGTTTGTTTTGTTGAGATTTTCTTCAACGTTTTGTTGTTGTAATACTATTATGGGTATTCTTTTTCTCCGACTAGGTTTAGGAATGTTTTTAACGAGATATATGATAGTATCCTCTCTCTACCAAAAAAAATAATGACATTGAAATATTTCTATAGATGTCATGTTCAAACCTAAAACATTTAACTATAACAACAATCCATTTAACCACAAAGCTAACTTGATCAATATGATTTCAATCTTATATCTTACATGATTAAGGACCTAACAACCAATGTGAACAGACAATAAAATTTAAAGTTTGTTTTTAAAAATGAGAGGCAAAAATGGTGTAATGAATATTACTTTGATCAATCAATCGGTAGTTGCTTGCTTGTCGGGTAGATATTTGTAACAAAATTGGATATTCTAACATACATGTGTATTTGTTTTGGGGGTTGGGGGGAATATTGCATGTACTTGGGATTTTCGATGGATTATTGAGGTATTGTTTGCAATTTGATATTTTTTTATATAAAAAAACAGCATTTAATTTGTAAAAAAAAAAAAGTTAATCAAATTTGTTCTTCAAAACAGATTTATGAAATAAGGTACCAATTTTCATATAGGATTCACCGCTATTCTATTTTGCTTTATTTGAATCAAACCCCAAGTTGGGTAGGAATAACCGGAACACAAAATAATCATATTGTTCAAAAGCAAAGGTTGAAAGAAGGAAAAAAAGAAATAATTTAATTGTTCCTTCTTATCCATATAATAATTTAGATGCTCATTATTGGAGTTTTATTATTATTATTATTATTAGTATTATTATTATTAAATATTCAATAAAAATCTTAATCATTTAATAATGTACATTAAAGATTCACGTAGACGATGTGTTCAAATTTAAAAATTATATGAATAATAATAATTCATTTAATCACTAAATTTCTGATATTGCTTATGAAAAGTTATGTGCCTAAGTTCTTTTAAGAGATGATCCTAAAAGGTTTGATTTAGAAATTAATTGTGTAAAATTATTGTTAAAAATTACTTTTAAAAATATAAAATATTTATTTTTAAAAATATATTATAAGATTTAAAATATATTAATTTAAATTATATTTAAAATTATTAAAATTATTTTTATACATATATAATAGGGTTATGATCCATTTACACATAGTGTAAAACTTTTAGTTTTACAATCGTTGAACGAGATTAACTTATTATTTTCTTTTTTTAGTGAATATCTTCACATTTTTTACTGTTAATCTCAACATTTGATCTCCACTCATCCAACGATCATAAAAAAAATATAAAACTAAAAGGTTTTACACCTTATAATTAGATTATGTCCCTATATAATAATATATTACATGTGCTGGAATTATTATTTTATTTCAAAAGTTGATTTGGTTGGGGGTGGTGGGTCTATAGCTGAGTCAGATGATCTGTCCAAATCCTAGACCCCACTTGTTATATAATTGTTAGTTTCAATCATTTTCACTTAACAACCCAATCCCCCATTTCCAGAAGCTTCTGCCTGTTAAGGTTACTTAACAATTGCGGCTAAAGCCCAGCTGTCCCCAAGTGATTAATGTTGTTGCTATCCTAATTGTCTCATTAATCCAACAATGGTCGACATCTTTAATCTTTCATCCTTTTGTTAGGTTTGGGAAAAATTACGATCAATGATTATGTAGACTAAAAACAACGAGGAACAATCATTGAGAAAAAGGTGTAGAAGGGAGGGTCTAACTCAACCTCTCTGTACATTTCTCTTAACTGATCATCGTTATATTCAACAAATATAATAACCGATCATAACTTTTTATCCAAATAATTAAAAAAAACTGCCAAAATCAGAAAACTCAAATTTTCTCATAAAAAATTTACATCGCAGACAATCGTAATATGTTTAACTATCTGTGAGAGGTGTAAAAATACAAAATTTCCATTGATTAAAAAAACTAACAGAGACAAAATTCAACTAATTAAATTTTAAAGGGACTAAAATTCAAAATTTACCATTAACCAAGTGAGGCCAAGACCCTACCTTTTCCCTAAGTTCTAATAACAAGGATTTAAACGAAGAGAACTGTAATTTTTTTTCCCGAGAAAGAAGAAAAAGATTTCCAAACAACAGAGCAAGTTATATATATTTTGAGATTAAAATCTACATAAGCTTCTAAGTTTACACTTAAACGACAATTTGATTTTTTTTTTCTTTTGATTTCCATTTCTTTGTTCCACCCAATGTTCATTCCATGCTCTTTATTCTCTCCCCATCATCTCTTATACCTCTATCAATCAGACATGGTAGTGAAACAATATTCAGGCCGAGTAAAACCGGGACTCGGATTTTGCAGACCTTTCCGGTAGGACTAATCGGAGAGCTAGATCTTAAACCTCTTGCAGGATCCAAACTTTTCCGAAGAATATTTCTCATAGAAGATATCAGATGAACTGTAGGATCGGGAGGCGGTCCGGAGGAGACGAATTTTTGGCAAAAGTTCATGTGCCTAACCATTGCTTCCTCAGTACTGATAAGCCTTTCAGTCCTTAGGATCTCATCTTTGATTGCTTCAGCACAGAGGCCACATATCCATTTCCCTTGGTACCGTTGGCGTACCGTTTCGATATAGGCCGGGGTACAGTCCTCGGTAAGTCCACAACAATCGCAATTGGCAAACTCGACATCGGTTTGTGCATTCACCGGAGTTGCTTGAGTTTCTTGCGTTGGGGCTGATACAACCTCGCTAATTATTGTAGCAGACATTGCCAATTTCCCCTGTTTGATACCAAACAAAATACCATAAGCTTGGTTAAGCTTGTATACCCTAAAGTATCAAACTTTGACTTGAGTTATATTATAGGTTACCTACGATTAAGCTAGAAATCGCATTATTAACAATTATACCAATGAATTCCCATAATTTTTTCTCAACTAAAAACAAAGAGATTTGACAGTTCTGCTAATTTGTTCAAAATCTTGTGTTCACGTAGGACAATTATCATAACCAAAATGCAGCTAACCATGAAATTTCAGTTTAACATAATCCTATTGAATTTCCTATGCTCACATAAAAGAAACAGACAAACACAAGAAAATTAAAAGGAAAATAAAAGGCTGTTCAAAGTAATTACCAGTAGTTAAGCAAGATGAAACGAAAACTTATAGTTCTTGTTCTTTGCTTAATAATCCCCCCTTTTTCCCCACTTCTGCAACTATGGAATTTTAAGACAAAAATTAGATCTTTTCTTCTTCTTCTTCTTCTTCTTATCTCTCTTTTTCCCATTCTCCTTCTTCTAACTTTCCTCCTGTGAAGAAAATCTCACACATGAAAACCATTTCCTATTCAAAAGCCTTTACTTGTAGCTTTGTGGTATCTCTTCAAAGACCCCTTTTTTATAATTAATTTTGAGAGAACCCAGAGATCCAAATTGACCTTATACTCAGAAAACAAAGAGATTGGAACCAAGGGATTACTTTTTGTTTTTGTGTTGCACAAAATTCTCCACTCGGAAGCACCTATAAATGGGAGAGATAGTGAGAAGGCAATGATTGAATCTGGCCGTTCATCTCTTGATTGTCAGCTAAGCATTGTAAAATTGGGAAGACCGTAAATCGAGCTTTTAGTCTCGTAAATAATACAATTACAATTTAGATTTTATAACGGAAACTATTTTATATTTGATAAATATTTATTTAAAAATTTATAGATGGAATGTGGATTAAATATTTGGTGTAATTGTAATATTTAAATGGTAGATTTGAGCACGATTTAATGTAATTGTTTTAAATTAAAGAGGGAGTTTAGATAAAATATTAGCATGGATAAATTATAGTCGAAAATAATAAAGATTTATTATATATTTAATTTTATGAATTGAAGGAGGCTATAGTTCAACTTTAATTTAAATTGATAATTAGGAGGGACAAAAGAGATGGTCACGTTGTTTACATATGTGAATCCAATTAGAACATTAAATTCTTCTACTCGTATCATATTAATATATGTTCAAAATGATCTCATTTGACTCATAATCTAATTTAATTTTTAAATTGAATTTTAAATCTAATTTAATTTAAATTTTTAAAATAAAAATTTAACTTAATTAGATCAAATTAAATAAAAATATTGGATCCAAACAAAATTATTATCTCTAGAGATAAAAGCCTCCGTCACTCTATATAATTCTACATACCATCGTTTTAGAGAATATACTTTATATGAAAATAATAAATATTGATGGGATGTAAGTTCTTTGTATGAACTTGCTAGTCTTTTCCTCGGGGCTTGATTAATATTTTTTTTTATAATTTTACAATTGAATTAGTCAAATATTATATTGTATAATGTATTGAAATGGAAACGGTCAAACGAAATATCAAACTAACATTATAAAGCCTTTTAATTATTGATTTGATAATAGAAAATATTAATTTGTGTATGTCATCAGACAAACCCTTTCTCTCTATAGTCCACAATCCATACATCATAGATTGAGACACATTATTAATAATTTAATAAGAATCTAAATTTTATTAAAAATTAAAATATTTTTTATATTTTCATGTAGATTTATATATCTACTTATCGTATTGTTAGTTTTGTAATTTACATTTATTTTTTTAAGGGTTAATTCATGACTGATTAAGATGATGTTTATATGTTATATTGTGATCTTCTTTGCTTTGGACTCTCGGGTTGAATTTGGATACCTGTTATGCATTTGTGGATAACTTTTAACGTCGCTCGAGTTTAATTTACGGGTTGTCGGTGGTCTTTCAGTAGTTTGATCTCTTTTCGTGGTTCGTTTTGTCGTAACCGGTTTTCGCCCGGGCATGAAATTTTTATTTGGCGGGAAAATTAATGTGAATAAATGGTTTTGAAAATAATTTGGGAGTCGCCATCGGCCTTTTGGGTCAGGTAGGTCGAATACCTAAAAATTATTTTTTTAAAAGAGTTTTAAGAAAACATCAATTAAAAAATGAACTGATATGCGTTTATAACCAAAAATTCGTTCTTTTTAATAATAAAAAGGGATTCGTGGTCGGTTACGTTTAGGGAAGGATTAGCACCCCTACAACGCCCAAAATTGGTACTTTTTAATTATAAATTGTCTCTATTATTAAAAATTTAAAAATTCAAAATATATTTAATTTATAATCCTATTATTTCAAAATTATATAAAAATATTAAAATATAATTCTTTTATAATATATAATTTTAAAATAAAATAAATAATTTATTTTAAATTGATATTGACAAATAAATGTTAAAATAATTTATTTTAAAAAATATATAAATTATTATTTATTATATATATATTTATGACTACATAATAATAATAAAAATATTTAAATATATAAACAAGTAAAATTAAAACAATAAAAATACAATTAGAACTATATATTTAAAAGCAATAAAATAAATGAAAAGATTTAAAATTAGTGACTAAATTATAGTAAAATTAAAATTAAATACCTAATTCATAATTAATTAAAATTATAGGGATTAAACATGCTATTTTCTTATTTATTAATTTAGTGACTAAAATAAAATTATATAAAATTCAGATATTAGAATAAAATAAATTAAAACATACCATTCAGATTAAAATATTAATTATTAAAATTATAGGACTAAATCTGTTATTTACCCTAAATATATTATTTTAATACAAAGGACTAAAATAAATAAAATTAAAATTAAAGATCTGAATTAAAAGGATTATAAACTCGATTTAGTGACTAAAATGTAAGGATTACAAATTCAAGGGATGGCGGACGGGACTTAACAATTAAAAATTACACAAATAGTCCTCCCCGAAACGACGTCGTTCAGGAAGGGCTATTTAAAGCCAAATCCAGCTGGCCCGAAGCGCCAGCTTCATTTCTCATCTCTTCCCTCTCTCTCTCTTCTCTGAGAGAGAGAAAAATTCTCTCGCTTCTCTCTAAAACAGAGAGAAGCTCTCCGGCCGGCAGCCGCTCGCCGGCGTTGATCCCGCTGCCGGCCACCGCCTTCGGTGGCCGGAATAAATTTTTTTTACATTAAAACGTAGATCGGACCGTCCTAATGACGGTTCCGATGGTTTTTTCTTTTAAACGGCTCCCGATCGGAGTAAATCTAAAAAAATACCTTCGGTTTTTGAAGGTTTTTGGTGACGTCTAGAGGCCGGTGGTGACTCCGATCAAGGCGGTGGCTTTCACAGTAAGTCTCTCTTCTTCATTTCCTTGCTGGTTATTGGGTTGTTGCTCTCCGTTTTCGTATCTTTGCTCTCGGTATTGTCTCTCTGTTTTCTGTTGTTCTCCTTTTCTTTGCAGATGGGGTGATGGCTTTATAGCCATCACCGGTTTGGCCATCGGACCGGTCCGAAAGGTGGAGTTCGGTGAGTCACCGAGCTATGTGGTGACTCACCCCATAGAGCTTGCGACGTGGGCGGCGGGTGTTGAAGCAACAAAGCTTCTGGATTCTTCAGCGAGGCGGCGGCGTCGTGGCTGAAGTGGATTCGAGCATCTGGCAGCTGACCGTTGACGTGGGGCGGCTGGAGGCAGAGGCGGCTGCGGCGCTAGGGTTAGAAACCTAGCTAAAACCCTAAATATTTAGGGTTTCAGTTTGGTTTGGGCCGGTTTGATTGGGCCTTTGATTTTTGGGCTTGTATTTTTTATTATTATTTATATATATATATTTAATATATTTAATAATAATAATAATATTTATAATAATAATAATTATAATAATAATAATAAAGATAATAATAATAATTATAGTAATAATAATAATAAATAAATCAAAATGGGTAAAAAATTAGTATCTTCACGTTTGTCGATGCGATCAGATTTGTTTGTATCTATCTTTGTTCGATTTTTATTGGTTAAATTTTAATTTTTCTTGTATAGTCTTTATATGATCTTAATTTGCTAGTTTTGTTTCAATGATTATAGGAAATTATCCTAATTATGTGCTTAATTTATGATTATGACTATAAATCTTTATTGTAATTTTCTATTTTAAATAAAAAGGGTGATTTCTATAAATAAAAATACAAAGCTATACATTATTAATACATTAAATATAGATATTTTATTTATTTTTACGTTCTAAACTCTGGAAATACATAAGTAAGAATAGACACATAATTTTATATTAAGAAATAAATTTATAAAATTTTAAAAGAAAAATATATTATCAATTTAAGATTAAATAATATTTAAATTTTATAAAAGTTTAAAATTTGAAGCGAGACCACTGTTCTTATCAATTTAAGATTAAATAATATTTAAAGTCTATAAAAGTCAAAACCCATGTAAGCACTACCACACATCGCTCAATTATTGAGCCACATCGTCATTAATCATCATTTACACATTGCTCAAGTATCAAAATTATTTTATTTTAAATTCACCAAAAAAATTATTTATTTTAAAATATATTCAATTGGATAAATACTAGTAAAATTTTATATGTATAATTAAATAAGAATAAATATTTATAGATACTTATATAAAATTAAAATTTATATTTATCATAATATTTGATAAAAAAATCATGTATACTTTTAATAATAATCTCTAAAAAGAATGGAATCTTAAATTACGATAAATTTTTTTTGACTAATATTTATTTAGTTTTGTTTTATTTGGTCTTGAAGGCATATCCTCCTTGTGCATTGCTTTAGCCAAAGAACATCCTACACATAGCTCATCGTGTTCTTAAAATTATTCTTAAACGAAGTGATTAACTAAATTAAGCCACGTTAGTCCTCATAACACCACACAATAAACAAAGGATGCCTTTTTCATAATTTTTAAAAAGTTTTGTTTCTAATTCACTATAAAGTTAATCTAAGTGTTTTAAAAAAAATTATTGAGTGACTTCGGTGGTTAAAAGGAGTGTTATTTTCTTTTGAGATATTAGGCTCGATCAGCTGTATTTGTAGGGTATACGTTGTCAATAGTTAAGAAAAATTATAAACATATATTGCCTTATAATCATTTTAGACTATTAAAAAGAATGTTTTAAAGGGTTTAAAAACTCTTTAATAAAAAATTACAAAATCAATTAGATTTTTATATCATATAAAACCTAAAATTTCATTATGTTCTTGATTGATTATCTGAGGAATAAAATTTTACAATTTTCTTCCAAATGAGTCGAAAGTTCATAAATTAAATTCAAACTAGTGGCGGATCCACACATATATTAGGATGGGTAAGTGTATATCTTAAAATACGAATTCTCTTCTTTTAATTATTTATTTAGTTGATTATGCCCACCCACATACAAAATTTTTATGTTGTCTATATATGTGCGTATACTTTAAATTTTTTTTAGATCCGTCGTTATTTCAAATCAAATATATGAATAGAGACCAATTGCAAGCTAACATGTGCTACATACTAATAGGGACGTAATGGAATATCATGGGCGAGCGAAGTTCGGGATGACTATGGGATCTGAATCCGACAGATTC